TTGCTGATCAACACTCTTGCATTATGTTATGACGATGCAATGTAATGCAAAAATTACAAAATATGACATAGACAAAAGAAAAAAATAGGTTAGTGTACACAAATAAAAGAAGTGGAAAATAGTTAGTATAGGTAAGATAATTGATACAGATAAAAATGTTATTCAAATATGAATATAACACCTACCCATCATGATATCTACCCGAGCATAGATAACATTCCTACCCATACATTCTATCCACCCACAAAGATGTATTTTCAAGACATTAATCCTAACCGCATGGTATCTAGTTCGCATACTATTATTCAAAAAATTAAAGCAAAAATAAAGGTTCAGAAATGCTCCTCCTTTGTGTATACTTAATTTGGATACATACTGACAGACAGAGGTTCGGTATGACTATACCTATGTTGAGCGTTCTACGGTTCATTGTATGTATGGTTTCGGCTCTAACGAGAAAAAAATGTACTCGAATTATCCTTGATGTCGGTGCCCCCTTGGGCTGCCAACCCTCAATCCTCACCCATTATAGACTTAAACGGATCGAGTTCAATTCGAGGGGATACATTGCCTTATGCCCATACGGAGAATAAATTCACACGAAGACATAAGGTATATGAATCCCGAAGGTTACTTGCTAGGCCCATACGGAGAATAAATTCCCACGAAGGCGTCACTTTCACCCCCACTTAAAAGGGTTCAGAGCTCGTGTCTAGAGCTCATGTCATGTAAATGCACGTGATGTGTGTGAGGAGGAACGTACCTACCTTTGACTCAAAAGGAAACGTAAAAACTCTCGAAAACTTGGACAGAGCTGAAAGCATAAATTAAAATGTTAGTATGACAATTAAAAAATAAAGCAATTAAAAAACTCAATAAAAGGAACATAAGTTAACTAAAGACTCGAACTCATAATTTCCACCACAACGACAACGTGTAAACGACCTATAGCCTGACTCTCTAAAAAATTCCCCAGCGGAGTCGCCAAGCTGTCATAACCATTTTTAGGTGGAACCATTATTTATGGTTTTAAAACGATTACGACTTTAATTTGGAAAACTTGGTGATTTTGAATTGATTGAAATAAAATGGAAAAGGGAGTCGCCATCGACCTTTGGGTTAGGTAGGTCGAATACCTAAAAACGTCTTTTAAAATAATTTTAAGAAAAATCATTTTTTAAGACAAAATTTGGTCTGCGTTACCAAAGATTCATTTAAATGGATTCGGGAGTCGGTTACGTTCGGGGAAAGGTAAGCACCCCACAACGCCCAAAATTAGTACTGTATCGCTTACACATTGTTATAATGGTGGAAATTACAAATCGAATATAAAGTTAAATTATGATTCGTTTATTGAACATTGTTTAATTTACTTCGAATTAATTACAGAAAATTCTTTAACTCGAAAAGAAATCTCGAAATTAGTAATCCTCCATCGGGAAAGCTAACTCGACTATTTCTTATCAATAAAAGAATATTCCCTCATTAATAAATATACAAATCGAATATAAGTTAAAATCGACATTTGCGTGAAATAAATTGTCATTTAAAAACATGCATCGTATTGTACGACAAAAATGAATTAATTAGTAAAAATGAAATTGATTTATTTCGAGTTCCATTTAATTCGAACGTCGTATTAGATTGTACCACTTCGATCAAGTGATACTTTCCACGCCCGTTCTACCAATTCGCGTTCTCGAAACTATTAAAATAACATTAATATTTAAGGAAATATAATAGAAACACATACGATGTAACATAAAATATTTGTAACATATAATAATAATATTTACAATATGTACATACATAAGGGACTGGAATGAAAACAAATAAATATTGCAAACCAAAATATAAATGAACACAAAAAAAAATTGAACTTACAAAGGACCAAAATAGCAAACGCATAAACTCAAAGGACTAAAATAGTACAAATAGGAATTTAAATGACTGATATGGCCTAAACATTAACTTAAATTACTAAAACCATAAAAACAGAAACTTAAGGGTCTAAATAACAAAAATAGAAATAATCCAGAGATAAAAAACAAAATATAAAACAATACATGTACTATAAGTGCAAATAAACCAAAAATAATATTAGGGACCAAAGTGAAATGAACAAAAACATAAAGGATCGAAGCATAATTAAACCAAATACCATCAGTGGCTGAAATAAAACATTTACAAATCTCATGACCAAAATCAAATATTCATAAAAATATAACACATGAAATTAGTGGTTAAATAATAAATATTGAAACATACATGCTCGAAATAAAATGAAATGGAATTTCATTTAATGGTCTAATAATAACATTACAAGACCCTAAGGACTCAAAGTGTAGTTAACCCTCACGCAGAAATCACGTAGAAGGTCCCCCTAGAATGACACCGTTTTGTGTTCGATATATAAGCCCAAAATGGGCTTTGTTTAGCATTTCTTCTCTCATTTGTTTCTCTGCTGAAACGAGAGAAGAGAGAGAGTTCATAACTCTCTCAACTCTCTTAACGAAGAGAGCACAACCGCGGTGGCCGGAGGCTCCCACGGGGGGCCGACGGGAGTGCACGGTGGCCGGAAGAGTGAAACTGACCCCAAACACTCTTCTCCTCGCCCTTTACCCAGATCCAACACTATATTAACAAAAAAAACTAAACCAATGACCCTAGATCTACGTTTATACCTTTCGAAATATTGAAGACCTAGTGACCCCTCCTTTCCTCCGGTGAACTTGGTACTCGGTGAGTCTTCTCTTCCCTCACCCTCTATTTTTCTCGCTATATTTTTTTAGTTTCGAATGGGGTTTGCTCTCTGTTCTTTTCCCTTTTTTGTGTTCCCCTCTTACATTGTTATTCGATTGAGTTATATACCCTTACAGAGGAAAAATAAAACAATGATAGTGGAAGCACACTAGTATGGGCATGGCATAGGGACTTGTATGGCATGGGCAAGGTGTTGGCATGGGGGCTGCTGGAAGTGGTCGACCAACGCAGGCTTGGGAAACTGCACAGCTTTGGGAACAGCAAGGTATGGGTTGTGCATGGGGGGACAAAAATTGTTTATTACAACAGTTTCTCATGTTTTATCCCCAACACAACAACTAGTATTCATGAATATATAAATATGCGGATTTGAGCACAAACCAAGTGACCTCTATAGTAAAGGAATTATTGTTATTCTTTGAGGACTTGGGTTTTAGCACCATAGATGCTAGAGGTGTGAGCGTTCAATAAGGTTGAGAGTTATATTTGAACAAATATTGTCTTGTACTTACCCTAAATTAATAAAAAAATGTGCGGACTTAAAGAAGGAGATTGTTAGAGATCAGTTACAGAGATACAAACGGAAGACAGAAGTTGGCTCAATCAAGTCAGTGGAGAGGGATTCTAGAGTTTTAGTTGTGCACGTAAATGAACAAATCGTTTTATGAATTGTCTGGTTATATTCACGAACAAATCCGTTCATTGAATCGTTTATAAGCTCGTTTACATCATTCTTCTTCTTATTTTTTGTTACATTTTAAATATTAGTGAAGGTAGAGACTAAATTGAACACAAAGTGAATCTTGGAGTTTAAACTATGAAACCTAATGAGCTTAAGAATTAGTAACGTAATTTCAACATTTTATTCCCAAGCAACGAACATGTTGATGAATATATAAATGAGCATGTTGGCAAACATATAAACTAACATGTCTGCTAACGCTAAGCAAACCAAACACCTAAAAAAACAAGCGAACATAACACAATATTAAAAATTTAAATTAGCACAAACTAAATATGAGTAACTCCGATAAACAAACAAACACGGACATAATCTCATGTATTCTCTTGTTTTAGTTAATGGAGTTTCTTTTGCAAATAACTTGTAAACTTTGGTTAAAATATGGTGCAAAGGGATAGAGGTAAACGGGTGGATAACAAGTCTTCTATTGCAAGTTAAAAACACGTCCTCATCTTCCACTCCTTTGCATAGGGCATGCAAGATAATAAGGTTGATATTTTGATGGTTGATAAAGGGAAGAAGAAAATCAATCACATTCCTTCATTAACCGATAGTGTGAGTTAGCAGTGCACTGATACAAATGTACAAGTCCAATTGTATATACTAATGCCATGTTGGGTAGTTTCTCGAATTTGTCACCACAGGTTACTGCAGATCATAATGCTTCATTAACCTTCTATCAGAAGTGTTGATCAATTGTAGGTACTGATGTTCAACATTGTTGTCAATGGCTTGATGAGAGAGCCTTTCCCAACCGAGGATCTTCATAAAAAAAATGGATTAAGTATTATTATAATAATTACAATTTTTTATATTATTGATTGACTAATCGAGATTGAATACTGTCAAGGGTGACCCTCCTAACCCAATTTACTCTATTCACAATCAACAGGATTCGAATCTTTGACATTGCTTAAAGAATTTAATACCTCGTCCTACTAGACTAACCGATTGTTGGTTGATTTTCATCACAATTTTAATATAATTTGACAAAAATTAAAATCAATTTAATATAATTAAAAAAACGATAGATAACATTTGGAACATATACAAGGATTAAATTCACAAAAATAAAAAAAAACCCGGGTATATATTATGCCTAAAATTGCCAATTATTATAGGTTTATATAACAAATAAGTACTTAAAATATGTCTTTTTTTTCATTTAAGTATTTAAATTATTTTTGGTCAAAATAAATATCTAATTCTTTTATCAAAATAAGTACTTAAATTAATCAATTTTTTTCTTAATACCTAAAGTATTATTTAATTAATGTCACATGTTAACTTTTTTTTAAAAAATTTAGATAAAAAATTTAAATATTTTAAATACTTATTTTGACAAAAAGATATAACTTTAAGTATTTATTTTGAATAAAAATAATTTAAGTAGTTAAATAAAAAATATATAAAATAATTTAAGTAGTTAAATAAAAATATATATAATTTAGATATACTCCAACCAACTAACATCCACAAAACCCTCAATTCCAGAAATCAAACGAAGTCACACCAACTGTCAACAACCCACACTCCGGCCAAATGTCTAGGTTGTGGCGCGGCCTGAAAACAGTGGTCCAAATATCACCGGCGAACACACACCATTACCACACCATCCAAGCCATCCCTCGAGAATGCACCGGCAGCCGTATCTCGAGCCGTGATAGAGCCCAAGGTAGAATCCCCGCAGTGGTTTTCTCCCAGGGCTTGCTCGAGAAAAACCCAAGTAATCGTTCCCCGTCAAGGAAACAACTTTTGACTACCGAAGGAAAGCAGATTCGACCCATTATCATGTCGGTCGAACTCCCTTTCTTTTGTTCCACGACGTTCCAGCTTCAGATCCGCGCCGGTTCTGGGTCTTCAATCTTACTTGAATCCGGTAGAGTTTTACCTATCAAGGCAAGCTTTTTTTTTTCTTTTTTCATTCTTAGCTTTCATTGTTACCCAAGTTCAAATTTTGTTTTTTGGGATGTTTTTATAGACTCATAGGGACGAGGAGACTGGTAAAATATTGAATTTGGTGTTTGTTTGGGCGGATGAAGGGACTGAACTGAAGGTTGACGTGCCTGTTGTTTTCAAAGGATTAGAGGATTGCCCCGGTCTTAAGAAAGGTATAAAATTTACTGCAGTTGTCCCCATTTCATCTTTGTTTGATCGATGTTAATATTATCCAAGTTTTAAACTTTACCATGTGATGTTCATTTTCTTGCCCACCGCTCCATTTAGATGAAAATATCAAGTCAATCTGAAATTCTGTTTTTGGCCAGAAAAACTTGTTGGGTAAAGTAAGTGTTTTGTGTTTTACAAAGTTCAATAGAAAAATAGCAAGGCTTTATCAAGTCTTCTTTTGTGATCATACTCAATAACATGGTTTTTAAATAACGGACCGTTAATATTATAGCGGCCTCGATTTCGGGGTTGCGTCACCATTCGAAACTGATATTGTTGAATTTAGCGGTGAGTAGCAGAATCAAGTCGATAGCGGTCCGTCGCGCCCGTAATTTAACGTGTAACTGTGAATAGAGTTGATAATGAGACACTATTACCGTTTTTCAACCGTTACTATAAAAAAATAAAAAAAAGCCAAAATTGTCAATAAAAACACAAAGCTCGTCCAACAAAAATAGAGAAGGAAGAAATCAAAAAAGCTCTATAAACTTAAAAACCAAAAATCAAAAACAGAGAGCACATCCAGCAAGACTCCACCATTCACGCAAAGATCAAACCGGAGAAAAATTGAGCAGCAACGGAACGGGCTTCGGAATCCATTTGAGAAGGTAAGAAATCAAGAAAAGTAAAGGTTTTCATCCCTATATCTAATTCTCTCCACCACCGATGAATATGGTTGAGTGGACGCTATTGGAGAAGAAACCACGAAGAAACATGGAGAAAGGAGAGAACAGTAGGTGTGGTTGTTGTTGGGGGAGTTTAGGATTAAAATATTTTAGGGTTTATTAGACTTAAAACATAATTCACTCACATTCATATTTTCAATTTTTAATTTTTTTAAGGGATATATTAATTTGTCATTCCTACTACTTTTAGAATTTAGAATTTAATCCTTAGTTTAGAATATAAATTTTATTTTTTATTTAATTTAGTTCTAATTTCAATCATTTAAATAATAATGTATTCATAATGTTATTATTAAGTAATTATCTTATCATATTACCGGATTTTTAAAGTCTTTTATTTAATTAAATTATATATGTATGTATGTATCATTTTCACTTAGAAAACATTCAAAAAGTTATTAAAAATGATTCTTATAATTATAATTATTATGTTTAGGGTATTTGTGCGAAATTTAAAATAATTCACGATCGCGACACCCGCAATGACTACAATGACATCAGTTATGAATGCAATCACGATAAACATAACACGACCGCGAACGCCATTTAAATCCTTGCTCAGTACTGTACACTGCTCAACTGGTAGTCGGTTATGTTGCTTGGACTCGTATTCGAGCGTCTGACATGAGTATATATATATTCGAGAGTGCTTGGAAGGTCGTATTTCTGTACTTATGTCTAAAAATGCATCAAATGATTAGATTTTTTTCTTCTAAAGCAGTTTTCCAGGTAACCAGTATCCGAGTAATGTGGGTCACATCCATAGGGTGTATCATCTCCATTTTCTTTTAATGTTTGTAGTAATTTTCATATATGTTTCTGTCATTGGAATTTATGAAGGCTTAGAACTAGGGTAGCGGAGTAGTGTTGCCTTAGTTTAGGTTTTAACTCATTTTGACTTTATTCCTTCTCGTAGCTTGCTATCGTTGACTTCTGTATATCCTTCTCTTCATATTTCCTCTTTTTAAATTTAATCGGTTCTTACGTTTCTGTCTATATGCAGAGATTTTTATGCAGGTATTTATTTGCATGGATTACTTCCATTACAGACGCGTATATGAAAGATGCATATGAAGACTGTTCAACTATGTATTTATTTATTTATATATACATTGCATTTTTTTTATTGTCGGATGTCTTCCACGGAAACTGCTCTCAACTTGACATTGGGGGCAACCTACTACCCTACCTCCCCTTATCCCATTACATATGAGAATAGAATTTTGTTGTTGTTGTTGTTGTTTATGTATGCATCTTCCTGCATTTGAGTTAGCATATGATTTTGAAATTTCTGGTGTTTATAAATCATATTTTTAGCGTACTGTTATGGATAATTAACTATTATAAAAAAAAAGAAAATTGCCAATTTATTTATTTTATTAAAATAAAAATTGTGAGGAGCAGATGTTAAGTCAGTTAGAGGCATAATAAAAAAAAGACTAAAAGAAACTTTTATTAAGCGCTTTAAAATAAAGAAGGATTTTTCTGTTATTAACCGCGCAATGTTTCATAAAAGGAAAAGAAACCCGAATTTTTAAACCGGAAAACGCCATTGCTCATCCAATCCTTTGGAACATCATCATTGTTCCATGGGTTTTCCTCTCGTTAATTTCTAAAATTCAAATTTGAATCATTTATTCTGATTTTTCAGTATGGTTTCTAGCCATGAGTTGTTTTCATAACATTTCGTTTTCTTCTCTGCCCTCCCGCAGCTCCTCCTCGCCGTCGCTGAAATATAGTGAAGATAATAATAATCATTGTCAGCGGAATCAGCGTCCCAAATCGCGTTACTACTTGGGGTTTAGTATTGCCGGTTCTAGGTTTAGAAGGCACAGGGAGCCGAGGCGTCTAACCGACCAGGAAGTTCCTCATAAGGAGGAATCGGTGGTTTCGCAGCAGTCCGATGGTGGTTGCGAGACGCAGTCTTCGTCCCCTTCGCGGGCTTCAAAGTCATTTTCATCATCGTCGTCGGCCTTGGCGGTTCCTTTGCCGCTCCCGCTTCCGGTTCCAGATGGAGACGGGGAGCAAAGGTTGCTGTCGCTGATGGAAGTTGGACATTGTAAAGGTTTAGAGGATAGAGATACAGATAAAGCAGATGAAACTACTGCTTCGCTAATTGAGTAAGTTATTAAAATATTATCTCAACTGAAATTTTATTTTAAAACTTATGATCAAATAAATTCATTTATCAATTGAATTATTATCTGAAAATTTTATAATTAAAATTTTATATCTTATTCGATTATGAAACTTTAAATAAAAATTTAATTGAGACAACATTTCATACTGACTTATTTGATTATTTGATTCAACAGTGACCGATTAATTATATTAGTCTATTATTCTCTATTTCAATCATTTGACGCCTTTAGTTTCGTTCTGTGAATCTTTTAGAAACATTTTCATAATCATTTGATGTCTTTCGTTTCGTTCTGTGAATGTTTCAGAAATAAATTGCTAAAGGATGAGATCTTCCTAATTGTAATTCTATTTAGTTGATAATTTAAATGCCAGAAATGAATTATGAGCTTAAGGATGATATATTCATGACCGCAATACTACTTTGATTGATAATCTAAATGTTCTATCTGAAATTTAGATTTGTAATTTATTTAGGTTTTATATTTATAGTCATTGGAGTTATTTTCTGATAAGTTGTTTTAGCTGGTTTTCCTAAAATCTTAAGCTTTCTAATTTCTCCGATTACAGTGAATTTGCTTCTCGTGACTTGAGGAAGACGACAAAGAACGTGGAAACAATATCTTCCTCTAGGGCGATGCAACAAGAATTGATTAAAGGGGATAGTTATCAGGATGAGTTTATGGTGCATTTTCCCATTAGCAGTGCTCCGACGAGTCAGATTGCGAGTCCTGTAGCCACCCCACAAAGACTGAGTGCTGCCGATGTGTTTCCACATTATATTGCTCCCGCGTGTAATCAATTTTGGTCCGCCCCGGAGATGAAGGCATTAGATGTTGCAGGGCTTCCTTCCCGAACATTCCATGATTACAATGCATTTACCACCGATCATACTCCACCTCACAGTTCACCAAATCGAAGTCCTACTCGAAGTAATAGAAGCCAAAGTGGACCAACTTCACCAATTCATGGAAGGTTGTCACTTGAGAGTATTGATATGTCATCATTGCGACCTGAATGTAATGGCCATATCTTTGTCCATCCGTTACCTCGTCCTCCAGGAGCAGGCTTGGCTTCCCCACCCGCTTCCATGTCCCAAGTTGCTAATAAACCAGAGTCATTGCCAATGAATTCTAAATGGCGAAAGGGCAAGCTTATTGGGCGCGGTACATTTGGAAGTGTTTATGTTGCCAGTAACAGGTATACCGTATAATTTCTCTTGGTCTTTGCCGCCTATTTCACTTGCCATCTAAAGCCTAAAATGGATTCCTGTTTCCGACAGAGAAACTGGAGCTTTATGTGCAATGAAGGAAGTTGATATATTTACAGATGACCCAAAATCTGCAGAGTGTATAAAGCAACTAGAGCAGGTTTTTCTGCCAAAAATGTTACATTTCTTCATTCTAGGGAGATAGAAGTGATATAGCTGTTTGTTACTTTTATGGAGCCTTAACTACTTTCTTTATTGCAGGAGATCAAGGTTCTTAGCCATCTCAAGCATCCAAATATTGTGCAGTATTATGGTAGTGAAAAAGTAAGTGCTGATTGCATGTTGTGGATTTCACCTATCCTTTTGTTCCACTTAACATCGTAAGAATTTCCATTAAGGAATACAAATTACCGTGTGCAGGTGGAAGACAAGTTCTATATATATCTGGAGTATGTTCATCCTGGTTCAATTAATAAATATGTTCTTGATCACTGTGGTGCCATAACAGAATCTGTTGTTCGCAATTTTACTCGCCATATTCTTTCCGGGTTGGCTTACCTGCACAGCACAAAGACAATCCACAGGTACAAAGCACTGCCCTCATCTGGCTGTTAAAAACAGCCTATTATAGTATATAAGTGAATGGCATCTTCTTTCTTCCAACTTAAATTTAAGCATGGAAATACTAGTAGTTTGAGGAGAGGTAAAAACCTATTTCAGTATTCTATAACCAAGTATTGGTGGCTTAATATGCTGTGTATCTTTTTATGTTCAGGGATATTAAAGGAGCTAATTTGCTTGTTGATGCATCTGGGGTTGTCAAGCTTGCTGACTTTGGAATGTCGAAACATGTAAATTTTGTATCTCCCCCCTCTTGCGACACATGCTAGTTACAGATAAGTCATCTATAGTTTTAACCATAGGATCATTTACTGCATTCATCCCCACAACTCCAATCCTTTATTCTTTATTGGACAATTTAGTTAAGCTTAAAAGAAGTGGAAAATATAAATGGACATAAGCACTAATGAAGTAGGTAGACAAGATTAATTAAATCTTTGTATGAATACTAGAGTTGATTAGCTTGGTGTGGCAAATGCTGTCATCATCATAATCATAGCTCGTTAGTTTTTATTTTTCTGATTCAGCTTGAATAATTTTTTATCCCTTTTGCTGCACAGCTTACTGGAGAAAGAGCTGATCTCTCTTTGAAGGGAAGCCCTTACTGGATGGCTCCAGAGGTATTATCTCGCAATTTTATAGTTATATGATTTCTGTATTTTAAACATACTGAAACTGGTCATTTCCTTACAGCTCATGCAAGCAGTGATGCAGAAAGATAATAGTTCCAAGCTTGCTCTAGCTGTTGATATTTGGAGTTTGGGCTGTACAATTATCGAAATGTACACTGGTAAAGCACCATGGAGTGAGTATGAAGGGGTAAGCACCTGATGTATCTTAATTCACGTTATACATCTGCTGAGCCTTGGAGAAAATTTTGAGCATTCAAACTTCCCACTGTTGCATGAAACGACATCAGATTACGGAAAAGGAAAATAAAAGTTGGGCTTTGTGCTTCTCATAATGCTAATAATCATGCATTGTATGCCATTTAGACTTATCTGTCAATCATTAAAACTTAAGAGTGTCCTAATTGCGTGCAGGAAGGACAAGTCAATTGCTTTGGGTTTGTTTTTAAATAAGAGATGTTGCGAACTTCTCTGTGCTCTCTTTGTTAATGCAGGCTGCCGCTATGTTTAAAGTGATGCGGGATACCCCTCCAATACCCGAAACCTTATCATCTGAAGGGAAGGATTTCCTGCGTTGTTGTTTCAAAAGGAAACCTGCAGAGAGACCATCTGCAAGCTTATTATTAGAGCACCGATTTGTTAAAAGCCCCCTCCAGTCGGGTGCCTCACCGAGTGCCTCATCCTTTAATGGCATAAAAGTAAGGGTAAACAAGAATACATACCCAGTTGTCGCCATTAGCATATAATAGTTTAGTTAATAATTAGTTGAATAATATGCAGGATGCGCCACTTAGTCCAGTTGAGCGATCTGAATTTAAACTGGTTCAGTTGCCGGTGCAGACTAGCTTGCAAAGTTCAAAACCTGTGACCCCTGACAGGCAAGAGTTACACTTTTTGCAACATGGCATTTGCATATCGTGACTGCCAAATTCAATCGTATGCTTTCTTTTCTCGACTGTCCATTTCAGCTTCACGAATTATTCTTTTTCTCCAGCAAGACTGCACAACGATCTCATTACAAGCATTCCGAGCTATCAGCGGCCCCGCGATGTTCTCCTCGTTCATCCTTTGAGGTTCCTCCTAGTTTGTATTCCCCGTCCTCGGGTCCAAATACTCATCACCCCATCCCTTCCAATACCGTTAATAGATCTAACAACCAGGAGTCTAAGAAGAACCATAACTTCAGATAACATGGAAGAAACGAAGAAACATTGTGTATTCAGGCAGCTTCAAGCATTGCATTGGATTCCAAGAAAACAGAATGTGGTCCGACACATGGCCATGGAGAACTGAACTAAAACCTCCCTATCGAATTGCTGTCTTCAATGCCTTATCGAAGTTTCCGAAGCCTTTTCATCCTGGAGGCATTATCCAGGGACTGGTTTTTTGTAAATTACTGACTTTTTTCATAGCTTCCAAAATTGTGAAAGCTCTCTTTTTTTCCCCATCCATGCATATTCTTACAGAAGGTGACATTCTAATCTCCATAAGTAGATTTTAGGAAGTGTAAGTTAGCTATATATCATTTCTCTTTTAGTTCCCACATCATGGGTACTATGCCGTCCTCGGCCTCTTGTTCATACATTGTTCCAGAAAATTTCATGTATTAGTGTTTGAACTCCAATCCAGCATGATGTTTGATTGGCAGAGATTATGATAAATTGCATTTTTTTAGCAATTTTTTCCTTTACATCATATTACTAATACCATTAATAACATATATCAATATTCTAATGTATTATTAAGTATATGGGGAATGCAAACTAATTACTAACACCAACACAACGTTTCTATTAAAATTCAGATCTATTTAACGTTATTTTTTGTCACGACTATCAAATTAATATATTTTTATTTTAAAACATTATATCAATGAACTCTTGTAAATAAGGGTAAATTACACGTTTAGTACCTAAACTTTCAAAACAAAATTCAAAATTTAACGTTAACATGTGTACTAAAATGAAACAAAAACTAAACTTCATATATAATTTTGAAAAAACTAAAAGTTTAGGTATTAAAATGGATCAAAACTGATAGTTTAGATATTAAATACGTAATTTACCCAAAATTATAATGAGTGATTTTAATTGTTAAAGGAGTTTTATTCTTTATAAAAGCTCTGTATTCAAGCAGTTAAATCTGCAGAGCATGTGTATCGTTATAAACTTAAAAAAAATCATCAGCAAATATTGTATTGTAATTACCCGTTTTAGACGCATGTATAAAGTTTAGATAAAAGATAGGATAAGAAAAAGTGGTTTATTACATAACCAAAACGCCAATTATAGTTTGTTTCCCAGGAGCAGACGATTCTTTTACATAACCAAAATATCGTAAAAGAGCTGATTGACTTGATTTCAATTGCCTTAAAAACCAATTGGTTTACTAACCCTATTAAACTCAAACTCATCTTTGGTACGACTAGAGAAATGTTTTACCATAAATGTTAATATTTTTTTTAATATTTTCGATAAAATGTTACCTAAAACATTTTTTTACTGAAAATGTTAATTTCGTTACCTAAATTTCGGTAGAAAAAAATAACATTTTAGATAACGTCTAATATTAACGTTTTCGGTAGAAAAAATAATCTTTTAGGTAGCTTTTTATCAGAAATGTTAAATATTTTAGGTAACGCATAATATTAACATTTCAGGTAGAAAAAAATAATGTTTTAAGTAGCACTTTACCGAAGATAAAGTAAAATATAACCAAAGATAAATCTAAAAATTTATTTAGGAGTGCCAGAGTTGAGCTATAAACTTTTGATAGATCAATGTGCATTTTATTATTGTTATATTAATTTACTTATTTTTATTATTCAAGGGGTTGGAAGCTAATTTTTTATTAATCTAGGATAAGTATGAGGTAATATTTATTTAAAGATAATTCTTAACAACTTGACAATAAACATTCTCATCTATGAGATTTTTAATACTTGAACCCAGGACTTCAAAGAATAACAATAATTACTTTATCACCGAGATCGTTTGGTTCGTGCGGAATTCAATTCTTTTATGTATAATGTATGCGCCTACTATATATTCGAAAAATGTTACATAAATAACACCTACCAAGGATACTTGAAACACGTAATAACTTAAAAATATATCCGAATAATTCACGTTGCAGCTGGTTCATGCTTACGCTGTTTAATATTTATCCATTGCTGGTTACATGTCAGTAGCTGATATGCAAATTGCCACTGATGGATCTATTTCACCACTTCATTAAACCATCTCTGAGGTGTATCTTCCACTACTACACTTACTGATATTACTTTCGGCATATAAATATTAAGTATTTTCGCATGCCGTTGAACTTTAGCAGCCCAGTTTTTCTTCACATGGTAGTCACTTAAGTCAAACTTGAGTGACTATAATTTACAGTCATCTTCAAACGGAAACATTTTTCATCTAGAGGAATACACCAGTGATGCCATTTTCTATGGGAAGATACATGGGATGGGATGGGATTGGACCCGACCCACTGAAGTTGACATCAGATAGTGGCTCTACCACTATCAGGTATTGTATTCAACTCTCCTTTGGGTTACTTTCCGTATAAATAGCTCTGAGTTTCCATTCCTCGAGCAATCCGGAATCGAGTTTCGGTGTTTACGTATGTTCGCCGATATGGACCAAAAAGCCTTCATCAAACTTCCCCTTGTTCACATCTTTTTCCTGAGTCACCTGGTGTTTTGTCAACTTGGTTATAGATTCTATATATGACAGCACTTGTCCTAGTCTCGCAAAGATTGTTAGATATGGTGGTTGGTCTGCCATTGCGAACGATACTTGAATGGCGGCCTCTCTCGTTCGGCTTCTCTTGCACGATTGTTTTGTTGATTTAATTTATCGAAGTCTAGTCTATGTTACTCGTACTTCAGAAAAATGAAGAGTCGGATAAAAAAGATGTCATTAACTGTTCCATTATGAACATAGCTCTAGTTTCAGTACATAAATTTAATCTTTCTTGTTTTTTTCTCTTCAGGGATGTAATGGTTCGATCCTACTTGATGATATTGGCTCAACATTTGTGGGGGAGAAAACTGCTGTGCCTAATCAAATTTCAGTAAGAGGCTATGAGGTTATTGACAAAATTAAGGCCAATGTTGAGAAATTTTGCCCATCAACTGTTTCCTGCACTGATATACTAACTGCTAATATTGTAAGTAACATTTTCATCTTTCATGTGCTTTTAACTGGATCGTATTTCGTTATCATCCTTCGTATGTTCACGTATTCGTGCGGTAATCCGGCTCGTAATCTCTCAGGCAGGGGCATCGTATTGGACTGTACCCTTAGGTCGCCGAGACAGCCGAACGGCGAATAAGCCTGCAGCTAATGAACTCCCGTCACCATTTAAGTCCTTAGACAACATCATTTCGAAGTTCAATTCGAAGGGTCCGGATACAAAGGATGTGGTTGTTCTATCAGGCATGGTTTCATTTCATTGCCATAAAACATCAATCTTTGATTACGTTATTTTTTCTCGTTCAAAATCAAAACAAAACCCTGTTATGTCACTTTTGTTTAATACAAGTGCACACACCATTGGCTTTGCTCAATGTTTCACGTTCAAACAAAGGCTCTTCAACTTCGGTGGCTCAGGCAAGCCCAACCCAGATCTCGAAACATCATTTCTCAAAGGTCGTCAAAGTGTTTGTCCAGATCAAACCGATTCATATTCTACTCTAGTTGCTTTAGATTCTCTCAGGACGAACCGATTCGACAACGGCTACAACAAAATCCTCGTCAACAGCTCCGGTCTTTTGCAGTCTGATCATGTACTTAGTACAGATAACAGAACTGCTTCCATGGTGGATAACTACAGCAAATACCCTTATCTGTTTTTGAAAGATTTTGGAGCATCGATAGTGAAGATGGCCAACATTGGTGTTCTGACGCAAAGCGGTCAATTAGATCAAAGTTTTAAATTTCTGCCATGAATGAAATGTTTTCTGGTTTTCGAATGTGAACGACTGCATGTAAAATACTAGGATCTTTCATGGTTTAGTCTCATTGTCTTTGTTTCAAAGCACGTTGGACATAATTGGCAAGTGGCAACTTGGATTTTGCTGCTCTCTCATTGCCATATTCAATTCTTTAAAGCGATCCATAAAAGGTCACATTAATTAACTTATTGATCGAAAAAAAATTAAACAATGGAACCCATCAAGTCACGTTAAGGATGACAAATTAATTGGAAATTGATAGATTTCGACTGATTAGATTAGATGGTATCAAATTTCTTTTAAAAAATTGAGTTTTAATAGAGGATGAAAAATATTCTAACCTAACCCGATTCGAGGGTAATAGTATAATTTCTTTGTATAAATTTATGGATCATTGTTATATATCTCTGCTCTCTGTAAGTTTTTAATTTGGTCCTTATTTTATATCAGATCTGATTAAATTTATACTTTAAAAAATTAATTTGAGTTAGATTTGAGTAAAGAGTATAAATTTTTCGGGTCAGATCATGTGGAAGATATATATTGTTCGGGTTGAGTTGGGTTAACCAAAAACCCTACTTGACCAGACCCATTATCATCTCTAACTAGACTTAGTGGTAAAAGAGAATGTTATTAGAGTTGAATTTAAAATACATGTTAAAAAATTACTAGTGATACTGACATATCATCAAGTAATATCATATCAATATTAGAAATTAATAAAAAAAAAAATCATATCAGCACTAAACATCTATGTTATTTTTTAACGTGGATGACCAGAATAGAAGCAAAACCTAATATTTGATACGATTTTAAAGAAAATATAATTAATAGGATCAACACAAAAACTAAGTAATACAAAGATGACCAAATAAGAAGTTTAACCTAAATAATAATAAAGAATCAGTCATATACGGATATAGGATTCTGTGGGACCAGCATCGACACCAATATCCTCTATCTCTAATAAAGGCTGGAAAACTGACCCCACTTTAACCTCAAAATCCGTATCTTGAAACTCACTCAGCACAAAAATCCGACGGTTCCTAAGGCCACCCCAAAAAGCAAGCCAACACCATAAAAGAACGAGCAAAGCCAGAAAAGACGAACTCACTCTTTTATTAGGTTCAAAATAAAAGGTGGGATTAGGGTTGTTTTGAGTCATTTTCAGTTGAAGCAAACAGTTGAGTGAGAGGGAGAGAAGTGAAAAATGGTGAACCCAAGATGTTATTTGGATATAAGCATAGCAGGAGAACTAGAAGGAAGGATAGTGGTGGAGTTGTACAAGGATATTGTGCCTAAAACTGCTGAGAATTTCAGGGCTTTGTGTACTGGTGAGAAAGGCATTGGACCTAACACTGCTGCCTCCCTGCATTACAAGGTTCTAACTTTTTTCTTTCTGACCTCGTGGAACTCTATATCGATATGTGGATGCATGAAAGTATATCTAGTTTTGCGTTTAACACTTTTTCTTTCTTCCATGAATGTCAAAAAGTGTCAAAGTTCTTTGGTTTGAGTTTAGTGGGTGATAAAGGGGTTTTTGGTTTATTAGGTCTAAGTAAATGGGAATTTGGTAGAGTTTACTTGTTTTCTTTGCATGTTTTGTTTTCTGTGATGCAAAGTATGCTATTTAAGTGTAAAAAGATTTAACTTTCATGGGATTTAAATTCAGTTCTGTTTTTCAAGCTGGAATTGTTGTGATAGAGATAAGTCTTTTTTGTGTGTGTTATTGTTAAATGTAGCTGCCGTGCTGTATTAGGTCTTAGTAAATGGGTATTCGGTAGAGCTTATATTTTTTCTTCGCATGTTTTGTGTTCTGTGGTGTAAAGTAATCTGCATTAAGTGTAAAAAGATTGAACTTTCATGGGTTTTAACTTCAGTTCTTTTTTTTTTCCCAAGCTGGAATTGTTGTGAAAGTGATAAAATAAGCTGCAAGATAACTTTTTCTTTCCTCCAAAATACAGTTGGCTTCTAATGTTGATGCATGTAGGCATGACTTGAAACTTAGACAATAAAGGAAATTAAGATGGCACTGGTAGACGGTTTCTTGCTTTTGCAATTTCACTCGTTGAATGATGACTATGCACCTCCAAATAATTTTCTTTACTTCCGTAAGCATCTTTGTAGTGCTTTCCTTTTTCTAACAATGGTGCAATTTTGATTTACAGGGTGTGCGCTTTCATCGCATTATCCGAGGTTTTATGATACAAGGTGGGGATATTTCAGCTGGTGACGGAACAGGGGGAGAATCCATTTATGGCTTGAAATTTGAAGATGAAAACTTTGAGTTAAAACATGAAAGAAAAGGAATGTTATCCATGGCTAATATGGGGCCTAACACCAATGGGTCTCAATTCTTCATTACAACTACTCGAACATCTCATCTCGATGGGAAACATGTGGTTTTTGGGAAGGTTTTAAAAGGAATGGGTGTTGTTCGATCTATCGAGCATGTTACTACTGAGGATGGTGATTACCCCACTCAAGATGTTATAATTGAAGATTGTGGAGAAATTCCTGAGGGGGCAGATGATGGGGTATCTAATTTTTTTAAGGATGGTGATATTTATCCCGACTGGCCAGCTGACCTTGACAAAAAAACAAATGACATTACTTGGTGGATGATGGCAGTTGACTCTATCAAAGCTTTTGGAAATGAGCAATACATGGTATTTCATATAATTTGCTTCATTTCCCCTTTTTTGTAGATTACACATTTTACATTATTATGAATGAGTTTGCCTTCTACTCTCTGTGTTATGGCTGCTTAATGATGGCACATTTTCTACCATACATTAGACTGCTGAGTACCGATAGCTTTAGTACTTTTCTTTGGAGTTTGATTTACTGCTACAGTGCTAGTAGATATTCCTAGTTGTTCCCTCTTACAGAAACAAGACTATAAGATTGCTCTTAGGAAATATTTGAAGGCTTTGCTCTATTTGGATGTCTGCTGGGACCTGGAGGCCATTGATCAAGGTGCATAATTTAGTTTCTTTCTTTGATGATCATGATTTTATTGCCATTAATCCTCTAGTTATTCTGCTGACCTTGTTGCTTCCTTTCTAATTTGTCATCACACAGAGAAGAGCTCATCTTTGCGGAAGACCAAGTCTCAGATATTTACAAATAGTTCTGTAAGATTTTTTTATTTCCTTGAAATTATTAGATCATCAATAAGTCAAAGGTTTAGGCATCTAGCATGGCAAGATCATTCCAATCTTTCTCTCTTTTTTAGTTCTTCATTCATTGAGTAAAGCATGTTATGTTAGGGAGTTCCTCTATGTTAGTATTTGTAATCACTTATATTCCTTTCCCGGTTATTGATGTTTGTTTCTTTTCATATGACTGCTGTCTGTGTTGTCTGCTTTAGGCCTGCAAGTTGAAACTGGGTGATCTAAAAGGAGCATTGTTGGATGCTGACTTTGCAATTCGTGATGGAGAAGATAATGTGAAAGCTTTCTTTCGCCAAGGCCAGGTCAGTGCTTAGTATTTGTACACATTCAAAACCATGTTTATTGCTTCCTTGGCACCGCGTACTTTGCCTGGTCTGTTCTCTTTTCCATTTCTTTTCTCTGGTCATGTTTCTAATTTAGTTTGTAGATTTTCTTTTTTTACTGACTAGTGTCGGTGCTTTTTCAAGCATAACTAATATTGTCGTTTCTTATTTTGCTAATTGATTTGAGGGAAGAACCTTGTGTGTTTATAACAAAATAAACTGCATGGTCTTGTTTTAACTGGAATGCATGTTGTATAAACTATTAAATGACTAGTTCTACTTTTATCCAGGATTTTTTTTTACTTCAATTGCTTTTGTATTTAACTGATGTCAGGCACACATGGCACTAAATGACATTGATGCTGCTGTCCAGAGCTTTAAAAAGGCATTGGAATTAGAGCCTAATGACGGTCAGTAAAATCTTGTCTCAAGTGAAACAGCTGTGAAACTCCTACCATGCTCCCTCCTTCCCTCTTCCATTTTCTTCCTCTGTTTTACTGTTTTGAGGTTTGGAAGGGCTTGCTAAGTTTTCGTATTTGATTAATGGAGTGCCATGTTGTGTCACCTGGTAAAGTTGCATACGATTTGTAACCTAAGTACGAAACTTGATGTTATATCACTTAATTAGTTTCTGCTATCATTCTTACTTCTACTTCATCAAGGTCCTTCAATTATATACTTTTGAGTAGATTCGGGATGACCTTCATCTTATATCATGTTTTCTTCTACTCAGGTGGAATAAAGAAAGAGCTTGCAGCTGCAAGGAAGAAGGTTGACATCAACCTATTCTTTCTCTGAATAAATATTTAATGCTTTCCACCTCACACTTCCAGTTGATTTCACCTGTGAAGGTAATTGAGTTTGAAACACTGCTGCAGGTTGCCGATAGACGAGACCAGGAGAAAAGGGCATACTCTAGAATGTTTCAGTAGATCGTTAGCCAACTTTATGGTACATCAACAACCTTTCTGTTTTGTTTTCCAATTATCTATGTTTCACTTTATTTAGTAAACTGTGCTTTGATGCCTTGCAGGCCGCCTTTTGTCTTGAAGGATCCATTTTGGGTTTTTATTTTTGCATACATTGTCATGTACCCAGTAGTGGGAGATCTTTATAGTCCGGCTTGCATTATGAAAAATAAGGTATGAATTTTCCAATTTTTGCTATGTATACATGCATACGTGTCTATTCCTTTGAACTTACGGAATTTATGCTTTTGTGCAGGATTTATCGAACAGTAAAAGACCTACCTGATCTCTCATCAGGAAATACTCAAACTCGGTGAATTTTAAATCAGAATCATCTTTATTCCTTCGATATTACATTTATTCTGAGCAGGAACTGTATTTTCGCGTACATGTCTGTTAGAATTTATCTGAACATTCCTTTTATGCTTGCAAGACATATTTATTGTAGCTAAAATTGATATTTTCTTTTTCACTTTCAACACTGTATTCCTCCTGTTTTTGAACTTGCTCATCAATTGTTGCTTCCCTTGCTTATTCCGATTAATTTCTTTGGCTCAAGTTTTCGGCAATGCAAAGTCTTTGTTTGGGACTTCATCTACATCCAGCTTAGTCAAGTCCAGATCTCCTGCCTCTTCTTGTTTCGTTTCTTCAACTTCGACCATCTTGCCACCTCCTTTTCTCTGCGATTTATTGTCTGGACGTGTATCTTTTAATCTTTTTAAATCTGAGTTCCGTGCCACCTCTGCTGTTGCCTTCTGTTCTGTAGCTACAGAAACCCGCCAGTTTGCCAACGATTTTTCTTCTTTAGCTCTTCTCTTTAGGGCATAGTAGTCTTCCTGGGTTAGTTCAACCAGGGAATTATCTGATTCTGCATGATCGTTGTATTGAATTGCTTTGGCTGCTGATGCTCCAAAAGCTTCTGATTCTATTCGCACAGCTCGAAGTGTGAGCTGCAATGTGCCAAGAGTCTGCCTCCTTAGCCGCAAAGTATTTATTAGTTTCCTTGGAGCACTTTTCCAAACAAAAAATCGATTTGTTTAGGTTCTCTGTACTGGGCTCGATCAAGACTGTTTACCTTGAAAACATGATTTCTTTTGTTCAATGTTTGACTAAACTATTTATACACGAGTACAAATTGAATATTTTAAAGTGAATTAAAAATAAAGAATATATATAAACTGGTTAGGCTCCTGAATTAATCAACTCGAACTATAATATGCTCAAATTTAGTTTAAGTGGGTACTTAAATGTAAGTTGGATTTTGTTTACTTGGTGTAAATATAATTTCGACCCTTAAACTTTTACCCTATATTATCCAAAGTCAAATGAAGATTTTACGTTATGGATTATATTTCGCAGCTCGGGGTCGTGACGTGTAGTTGGTTAAGATTCCTGTCAGCTTGAAATGTCCGCCAACTTAAAATGTTATTTCTGCACAATGTTCGTCCACGACAAAACCTGGCCGTTTGTACTTGACACCAACTCAACTAAACTCCTCTCCTTCTCCTACCATATCAAAGTCCGAACTTAGTTCCTGGTAAATAACTTTCGGTATAAAACCAAAGAAAACTTCCATTTTCTTGGGGTTTTTAGTTTACTTCATCTTATTGTTATTTGATGCTAAATTAACAGCTCCATGGATCGAGCTTACACTGAAATTCTCGTGGTGCGTCATGGAGAAACAGCGTGGAATGCAACTGGAAGAATTCAAGTCTCTTCATTATTTTTACAACTTCTTTTCTGAGAAAAATTAGTGTTTTTTTTATTATTTCTTTGCTTAATTTGATTTTTATTTTAATAGGGACATATGGATGTGGAATTAAATGAAGTTGGAAGACAACAAGCAGCTTCAGTATGTTGTTTTGTAGTAATTTCTCTCCTTTTATGATCATTCTCTGTTTATAACATTACCGATGCTTGAAAAACTCGTGTTTCTGGGTATGAAGTTAGCTTGAAAGACTATCCCAAGAGCCTGAGATATCCGCCGTATATTCTTCTGATTTAAAGCGATCTCTCGAAACAGCTGAGACAATTGCTGCAAGCTTTGGCAAGTTCGAGGTATGAACGTCTTTTCATTGTTGAATTTAGTTTTATGTTACTCAAACTATTCATTTTTCTTGAAATAACCGAACACTACAACTCGATACTAACCAAACTGAAACCATGCTAGAACTCGAGAAATCTATCATCGAGGAGCAATCAACATATGCAGTTTGCTCTGAATATGAGTTTAGTTGGGAAATGCTTACACGGTTTTTCGTTTTGTTGGGATGTAAAACTTTTAAGGTTATTAAAGATCCAGACTTACGGGAACGACATTTAGGGGATGTTCAAGGTCTTCTGTTCCGTGAAGCAGCCAAAGTACATCCTGAGGCTTATCGAGCATTTTCGTCTCGCAGGACTAATCAAGTTATACCAGTAAGTGATGCAGGAAACCGTGCTGATTCAATCTTTTTATACGAATTCTTTTAGTATTCGGATTTGATTCCTTATCAGTAGGTTATTTGGCATTTATTTTCACATTAAACATGCTCGTTCTGGTTTCAACATACCGGTTTACTCGATCTGGTTTTCACTATGCGTGCAGGGAGGTGGAGAAAGCTTAGACCAGCTCTATCATTGTGCTACATCTTCATTACAGAGAATTAGTCAGAAACACACAGGTATTTACCGTCGTTTTTTTAACAATCCGTCCAAGTTTTACCCGACAGGGCATGTTTCTGGTTCGAATATTCTGAATTGTTGCCTGTTTCCCGATATGTTAGGAAAACGAGTCGTCGTGGTGACTCATGGAGGTGTCATAAGGGCGCTATATAGGCGGGCTTGGTCGACAAGGTTCCGGGGAAGTATACTAAATACTTCTGTGAACATATTTCATATATCCGGTGATGGTGTGTGGACCATAAAAGTTTGGGGTGATGTCACTCATCTTCACCAAACAGGACAGTATTCCATGTCTGGTTTTGTGGTTAACAAAAACATCATCTGCTGTTACTTCTGTTGTCATTTGAATAAATCAGCAATGTCTTTGAAACTTATTAGGGATTAAAGAATGTGTAATTATACATACATACTAAATATTGTATATTTACGTGTGATGCTTTTTTGTAGACAATCATCATCACCGAAATTACATAAAAAAATGCCTCATCCAGAAAGTCAAAGGGTCGTTGGCACTTAAGTCGGCAAAAACCATGTTATCATGATGTTGGGTGAAAGCGTTTTCTGTAGACAAAATATGAAACAAAATTCACAAGGTCAACAACCGCCATTACCAAGATGCTCTCAGGAAATCATTTGCAAACCACACGCATCCCATTCTAATTATTAATCCATGCTTCCCATTTATTAATCCATGATTTTTAATTTTTAATTATATTCTAATAAATAATTTATTTGTTTAAAATATATTATTCCATGAATCCGCTAGACCTGCCATATAATAGTATGAATTAAATTTGGATAAAACCCTAAATTCATAGATATGTTAAATTGATGTTAGATCATGGAACTAACTATTCCTAGATCCTATATTAATCAATAGACTTTTACCATCACTGATTCATCGACAGATGGAGAAGAAAATAAAGAACAAAACATGGTGGGGAGCTCAATAATATATTGTGATCATATGCTTCGAGTGGGCAACCAAATACTGAAATAGGCTACTTTATTTTCCTTTGAAATGAAAAGAAGATTAATGTAATTTATTAACAGAAAGCAAATTAAGAAATAATAATAATAAAAACTGGCATCGTTTATGAAAAAAAGAATGAATGTACTGCAAGGTAATTTGCATCACCAAAGATTACATGGGAAATTAGTTAATGGATTGCATCAATATGGTTAAAAATATATTGATCTAATAGTATTTTATTTAATGTAAAAATAAGTATTTAAATTAAAAAATATAAGAATTTATTATACATTTAATCAAGTAGGGGTGAACTAAATAATGATAATATAATACCAACAACCGGGTAGTATAGCGAGATGAGACACTAGATAGCAAGGTCAAAGGTTCAAATATTGACGATTGCGAATGAAGCAAACTGGGTTAGGAGGGTCACTCTCGCCTTTGCAGTACCCGATCCGAATGAGTCGACCAATAGATTGAAAATCGGTGGTTATACAAAAAAAATGAAATGATAATCCAATGTTCTCAATTTTTGGTCTAATAACAATTTAGGTCATTATAAATTTAATTATTAGACAAATTAAATATTGTTTTATGAATTATAAGTTTAAATACCTAATAAGTCGTTATATTTTTCTTAAAAAGTTTAATATTTCGACCTTTGCTTATATCTAATCTTGACTCCACACCTGCTTAAATCAATAAGAGAACAAAATTCTCTTTTATTATTGAGTTCACCTAATAAAGAAAATAAGTGTGATAGTTCAATTTCGTATTTCTTAAATTTATGAACCACTCATTTTAATTACAATATAAACCGTTTGTACTAAATTCTCTTTGATATTCACTTTTTTACGTTATTCTCGTAAATAAATAATGTATTCGGTAAATTTTTAAACTTGTCCTATATATTTTCATTATTTACAATATAAACCGTTTGTACTAAATTATAAAAATAAAATTAATTACAAATAAAATTAAATTAAATTTAAATAATTATAATTTTTAAACTTATATTATATAAACCATCCAAATATTATAATTTGATTCCCGATTCGATAGATATTTTGCCCACCACAAGAGTAAGCAAATTACTCGTATTAAGTTGAAAGCAAACTAATTAATTAACACCCGCCCTAAATTGCACCACGTGGCTATCGTCCAGGTCACAATTCACTGGACTGGCCCCACAAAAAGTTAACTCTTCCTTTTCAATTACAATAATAACATACTAACCACAACAAATTTAATTTGGAATTTCCCAATGTTCTGAATTTACTTTTTTTTAATAATTTTAATTTTATTAATAAAAAAATTAAAATTATAACATATTCAAAGAGGAAATTGAAGATAATAATTATAAAAAATTTATGAATTGTCCATCTAGCTCAGTTGGTAGAGTGTAATGTTTTTAACCTTGTGGTTGTGAGATCGAGTCCCACGGTAGGCAATTCATAATTTTGACTGTTGGAGGTCTTCTACGGAAGCTGCTCACAACCTAGCGTTGGGGGCAACATACTATCTTACCTCCCCTCACCCCATTACATATGGGAATAGAGTCAGCTAATTATAATTATAAAAAATGTATGTACATAAAATAAAAATATTAAATTCAAAGATACGATTAAAAATAAAATCTTTTTTTTATTGATGATCACATCTAACATCAAAGAAGTCAACAACTTTTATAAAACTTTATATCTTTGTTGAACGAGATACTTTACAAAGTAATACAATAGTGAAGAGTAAACTAAATAATTTGGTAGGTTGTTTCGCTACACAATTCTGATTATATTGACAAATAACCTTTTACCAAAGAAGAAATCTGACAGAAAATGTCACAAAAGTAGAGAAAAATTGTCACAAAAACAAATAAAACGTGTTACAATGATATAAATTATTTTTTAAAATTTAAATAACTAAAGTAAAAAGGAAAAATAAAAAAATGTAGCATAGAAAAAAATAAGTAAAATAATAAATATCAACTGTCGATAATTAATATTAAAATTAATATCATCATCAACTAAATAAAAATAAAAGAAAAAAGGATAAAAAATATAAAGAAAAAAATTAAGTTTGAGAAAAAGTTATGATTTTACTTTCTAAAATTAATTAGTATGTAAAAGTAAATATTACATCTGAATATAATAAAAAAAACGTTAATTTACATTTTAATTAAAGAGTTCCGAGTTGAGATTTTTGAAAAGCAAACTTTTTCATATGATTAATGAAATTTTTAATAAATTCAACGTTGAATTGAATAAAATAATTGAATTTATTAAAATAGAGTAAATTATATAAATGGTCTTTGACTATAAGGTGATGTTTTATTGAGTTTTTAATTATTAAAAGTTACAAAATGATCTTTCAATTATAAGATATTGAGTCTATTAACTATTAAAAGTTACAAAATGATCATCTAACCATTTTTGTTCCAAACTCGTTTTTTTGGTTAAAAAATTGTAACATGAACGTGATGTTAATATGTTGATTAAAATATGATAAAATCTTATCCAAAAACCTCAAAAGACTATTCTATCTTAGTGTATTAACGTTCAACTCAAATGAAAGTCAATTTTTAAAGAAAAAAAGACAAGTTTAGAATATATTAATAATTAAGTGACCTTTTTTTTAATTTTTAATAGTCGATGAACTCAATAAAGTAATACCCTATAGTCATAGGATCATTTTATAACATTTACCAGTTAAAGAACTCAATGAAATAAAGCTCTATAGTTGGGTAAGCATTTGTGTACTTTATCCAATAAGATAATAATTATATTCAGTATTTACAAAATTTGGACCAATCCAATATCAATGATTTAATCTATAATTATATTTATGACGAATAAAAAAAATACTGAATCGATATCTATAAATAAAAAAATACAGTTTTAATTAATTCATTCTTAATGAGCGAAAAAGTTAAGACCTCGTCGTTTCGTTTTAATCATCATATGGGGATCCTTTGTATCTCCAATAAGCACTTTCAAACACCATAGACAAGAAAAGCTTCAGTTTTCCAAAGGGGAATAATTAATATAATTCCTTTATTTTTCAGTTCAATATTTTACTCCTTTGAAATGGTTTAAGGCTTTGAGGGGAGATTCAAAATCCTGCTCTTTGGGGGAAAGAGAGAAATAGGCTTACACTTCAATGGGTCTTTGCACTTCCAAACCCTCCCCAAACCCTTCGTTTTCTCCTCCTGATTCTAGAAATACCCATATCCCTCCCCGGAATAACGGTTTCCACCGCAAGTCTAACTCTATTCCGGCTTCTCCCTTACTCGATGGGTAAACTGTAACCAAAACCAGAACCCGAGGGAAGATCAGGGTAAAGAAGACGTAGAAGAAAGGAAAGCTCAATTCCCAACAATGAAGGCAAGAAATCGCCGTTTTTCCCGTTTTACAGTCCCAGTCCAGCTCATTACTTGTTTTCCAAGAAGTCTCCGTCGAGATCTTCGACCAATTCGACTCCGAAACGGTTTTTCAGGAGGCCGTTCCCTCCTCCGTCTCCGGCTAAACACATTAGGGCCGTTCTTGCTCGGAGGCACGGGTCTGTGAAGCCTAATGAGGCCGCGATTCCCGAAGGAAGCGAGGCGGATGCGACTGGCGCGGCGGGAGCCACCGGTACTAGACTGGATAAGAGCTTCGGGTTCTCGAAGCACTTTGGGAGCAAATATGAGCTCGGAGACGAAGTAGGAAGAGGCCATTTCGGTTATACCTGTGCGGCGAAGTTTAAGAAAGGAGAGCGTAAAGGACAACAAGTTGCCGTTAAAGTTATACCTAAAGCGAAGGTTTCATTTTAAATTTTGTTTTTATATACTTTATTTTAATTTCAAAACCTTTTCCTTTTTGTGTTTATGGATTTGAATTTAAACATTTGACATTGAAGAAATGGGATCCGGGAGAAGTAATTCGAAGGATTTTATAAACTAAATTTAAATATTGAGTTTACTGGAATTGTTTAACAAAGTATAGAAATGATCATAGCTTTAAATATGTACAACTTACGGAGTTATGTTTGGAATACAGCGTCTTCTACAATTTTATTTCCGGAGAGTATCATTTTTATGCCTTGAACTGACATGTTGTGATTGTTGATTTTGTTTTTCTGTTGACAGATGACCACTGCAATTGCCATTGAAGATGTTAGAAGGGAGGTAAAAATATTAAGAGCTCTTTCTGGACATAGCAATTTAGTACAATTCTACGATGCCTACGAAGACCATGATAATGTCTACATTGTTATGGAGTAAGTACCATTTGAAAACATGAACTCAATTTTGGGTTTGTTGTGTTTGGGATCATTTGTTTGATAATGATCGTGTGTCTTCTTACGGTGTGTTCTAATTAGTTACCATGTGTCTTTCAGGTTATGTGAAGGAGGGGAGCTCTTGGACAGAATTCTTT